TCGCTTCTCGCCGCCCGGGGCTGCGGGGCTCACCGCTAAAATATACATCAGCCGGGTCAGCCGCCAGAGTCATCCCGAAGTTTTGACCGCCGCTGGACATCTGTGACCAAAACAGAGCTCAAACGTCAGATCGGATATTATGAGGTATAAATACTTAGTGACTATACTTTTAAGTCGATTTTTTTTTTCACGTATCTGTTCTTTATTTGAGGACAACTGTCCTTTCTTGGTTACCTTGTTAGGCTTCCTTATCCATTAAAAGAATGATTTAAAGATATTTGTGGTGACCCCTTTGCCCTTTCTTTATGACAGCATACACCTTCGGTTTCGCTGTCAACTGGGGAGGGGTAATCTGTAAGCATCAACTCAGGCCTTGTCTACACGTAGCCGGGTATTTTATAAACGGGAGCTATTTTTCTGTGGTTTGCCCCATCATCCACACATCTCCGGAGAGTTTTTTTTTTCCATTAAAAACCAAGATTTCTGAAAAATCCAGCCAAAGTGGGGATTTGCGGATATTTCCGGATCCGCGTTTGGCTGTGGACAGTCGTAAACTGGAGATTTACGTTGTCACTCTGCAACAAAAATGCTCTGACGTCATAGGCGCACTTATGTTTTCATGAGAGAGAGCATTGTCTTGACGTGCTTGTAAGTGTGCAGAAAAACGTGCTCATGCAGTATGGTATATGCCTTTTTTTTTTTAAATAAATGGTGCAGTGTGGATGGAATTTGTTTTCCAAGTGGAGTGTGGGGGAATATTTGCTTTTAAAAAAGCCGAGCTATGTGCCCACCAGGCCTCACTAGTCCAGGACCAGTTGCTGGGACACTAATGATTTGAAATTAGCATTGGAATGCTCAACAATGGGTACTTACATTCATGGTCCAGGGCCCTTGATGGGTATAGCCCGGCGTGTCATAACAACTAACTGACTTGAAATTGACCATAACAACACAAAAAAGGTCATCATATTCACCGTAGCATTTTATAATTTGGTGAAATGTATTTATTTTTTAATGTGGTTTGGTTTAAATAGAATTTACTGATAAAGTCTTGATGTAATAAACACATTTATGTTGTACTTTAATGCATTTAAAACCTAAAATCAGGGTGCGGCGACGCCGGAGGACGATTAAATTCAGTACCTGCGTGTGCGAGGACGCACAGCGGGGTTTTTGGAGTGCGGACACCCTGGACATAAAGTGCAAGCTGTGTTGCGAGGGGCTGAAAAGACAGCGAGACAGAGCACCGAACGGATCAATAAACTTCATAAACGGCATCATCATTTTGACCACCGCCAAGATAGCCAACCGCCAGGCGCCATCTGGCCTCGTCTCGCCGGACGGCGGGATCGACCAGCGTCACCTCACAACCCACACACACACACACACATTGTCAGTAAGCTCACAATCTACACATGACTGCACGCTGAGAGTTTTCCGGCCAGGTATATGTAAGTGAGATATAGTCTTTGGAGACAGATTGTGTTTGTGTGCCTTCTTTGCTGAGGAACCGTTTACGGCTTCCTCGACAATATATCCTCCCATGGCGTATTGACCGTAAAAAGGGACAGAAAATGCGAACGCACCAAGGGAACGTGGCGATATAAAGAATAATTTGGAGGCAGAAAAGCCGAGATGCAAGGGGATGGAGAGGTGAGGTTGGAGGGGGATTGGGGGGGGATGGGGGGGGCGCTTCTTGTCAAGACAAGAGAGGAGCTGTGAAGAAAGGTGCAAATTAGTCTTATGAAGGTTCAAAGGAAGTGCCATGCACGAGTCTTCAAACGGCTTGCGTGAGCACGAGTGTGTGTGCATGTGTGGGCGGCAAGCCAATCAGGGAAATGTCATTTCAAGATGAAGAAATAAAAGTTTCTGTCCAGATTATTCTCATGCTTGAAGAGGCAGCGGGATCGAGCGTCTTGGAGGAAAATGAGATGCTGACATGTGTGTCAAACTAATCAGAGCACAGAAACCTTGCGCCGGCATCACACAGCCCTCAGTTGATTACACGAGCGCATCATCACAACAATTGGATGATGGATAAAAAGGACAAGGTCTTGTGTTTACTTTGGGTTGATTGACTCCTCAACAAATAAATTGTTTGAGCAGGAAAATAAAACATAGCACAGAACAGTGGATAGTGGATTTTCAATCTGCCATTTTGCATTTTTTTCCCCCCTAAGAGTGACGCACGTGCCGCTCTTGATGACGTAGAACGGAACAAGGTCTAGCGGTCTATCAAGCAGGTGTGTTGTTTATTTTTATTATTATTTTTTTTTTTTTCCTTTCAAACATGAGGTACCAAAACTACAGTACTCCTTGACCGCGTTTCAGTCCTAGACACAACGTAAACAACTTCCGTGGGCTGCCGAGAACGTCTCATGCTAACAATGACTGTTGAGGATAATGGCGGTGAAGAAAAGCGAACAGACGCAGAAACACAGGCCTGTCTCCCGGTATTTCATCCATGCTCTTGACTTTTCGCTAAAATGTCCACTGCACTGAGGGATTTCTGGAGGAGCTGCACGAACTTTCTCCAAACATCCATATGTCATGTGCGCTTGCTTATACCATCTCACGCTAACACGAGTGGCTTGGATAACCACGGTAACAAACGCCGGCATGTCATCCGCGTTCTTGAGCCTATGCTAAGGCTTTTGGCCACTGCACGTATTGATGTCCGCAGAAGCGGCACTTCCATAAGAGCTCCTGCGCGCTTGCAGATGTCGCCTTGTGCAACTACTATCGGCGCGGACGACGGCGAAAAGAGAACCTAGCAAGGAATCAATGGGGGGGGGGGGGGTTGTCTTTGTAATTGCCTCGCTTTGCTTTCTTTTGTCCGTCATTTGCTCAACAGCATGTGAAATTGATTTGCAATCGTTACGGCTTCCTAACGGAACGGGTTGCTATCGCAAAAATGTGGTTGGCTCGGACTTACACTGTGATGATTATTCATTCCGCATTTTTGAGGGGGGGGGGCTGTGTATTGCTCAAGGATATTCAACTGAGTAGGTCAGTATATTTTCAAGGACATATGGGTTAAGAGGGAAAGTGATGCATTTCCCTCTCGTTCACCGACAACATGTGAGGCATTAAGTGCAGCTCCCTCTTACCAATGTCACCGGCAAACATTTTGAATGAAAAAAAAAAAAAAAAAGACACATTTCCAACTGCATCAAATGAAATGTTATCCAGCGAGAGAACCGTTCCAGAAACATATAACCGAAGGGAAGGCTGCATTTAATTTACACTAGGTGGACATCTGTCCATTACGGGTTGTGTAAATGGAGGGAAAATATGGAGTCGATCCAATATTTTGCTTCTATAACAGCTTCAACTCTTCTGAGAGCACCAGTGGAAATTCTGTGATGTGAGTCAGGGGTCAACGGCGACCGTCTTTGCGATGGATGGGAGGTGTTTGATGGGATTTAGGCCTGGGCTCTCAAGATCTTCTAATTGACTAAGGAAAAAAAAAAAAACCGTGTGTTGCAGTTTCACCTTTGCTTTAAGTGCTGTTCACGAAAGCCCCAAGTCGAAGTCATCAAACGATGAGCTAAATGAACAGAGCATCACATTCTCATGAAAATAATAATTGTTCTTTTATAACACCATGTAAGTTATCTTCCATTGTAAGCTACGCTTGAAATGATACGTAATAAAAATGAGTTTATTTGTTAATGAGCCCGTAGAGCTTCGGGGAAGTGCCATTAAAGGAGTGAAAAAGCAGCCGACTGACCATTTACGTGCACAGAGAGGCCACAGACAATCTCATTCCATAGCACGCCCGGGAGCAGTTAGTGCTCTTAATGGTTAGTTATGCCGGCACGCGACGCATCTTCACATCCTTCACCGACAAGAGCGTTCCAGCTGCACATTTTTATCAAAATCGATTTCGGCCGAGACTTGAATCTGTCGGGTTTCATTCTGGAGGGGGAAACGTGATGTCAAATGAAAAAGGTTGCGGTATTCATGACCTTTGTGGTAAACGTGTCCCTTGATATAAAGTGAACCCCCGGGTCGTCGGATAAGTTGCAGATCCATCTGGTTTAAGTGAAAATATAACACAGAGAGAGCGTACGCTAAAACCAACTGTGAATTTATTTTGAAAATTCTTTTTAATCGCACCTATAAAACGGATAGATACCGTATGTGCTCTTAAGAGGCCAGGTCTGGCAGAGCGGCATATGATGTCAGCGACTGTAGCTCTCCTTTCCCACATGTGAGGGCATTGCAGTAAATCAGTATGATGGGGGGTGGGGCGGGGGGGGGAATTTGGTGTAAACCGAAGATTTTTGTGACAGTCATATGGCCAACTCGTATTCGTACCATTTTTCTGCCCAAATGTGGTCCCGGTTTTCATCCAACTGTTTGTTTATTGTTTTATTTTTTGTACACTTGAAAACAGTCTGTGCCAAACTCAACATGCTACCCGCATGACTCAGCCAAATCATCAGAAGCATTGCTTAATTGACTGAAATGTTTTACTGTGAAAATTCTTTGGATTCTATAACAAAAGATTTCCAATAGAAAATGTGAGCTTGAGTTTTCAAACGCTTTGGTTTCAGCCAGCAGCCAGACTATTTGGAATGGAGTAATCTCGCAAACGGAGATTCCGCAAACAAATCTGCAATTTTACGTTTCCGAAAACAATGAACCACAATATCGTAGGACAAAGATGCGGACATCTGGGCCAGATTAGAACATTTTTCCTTTTGTTATCTGGGGTAGGAGTCAGCCAAGGCCTGGTTATCAGCTAATAGTTGACCTAGCATCTGTTTTTATTCGTTTGTTTGTTTGTTTTTTTTAAGCTATTAAGCTGTCATCATGTTTGTATTTTCTTGCAGTCTGTATATCCTGTGGCGCTATGCTGCCTCTCACAGGTCAGTCTTGTTGCTACGACGGACGTATGTCTGGCGCATTTTTTTCATGGATATGTGCCATATCTGTCACATTTTTTTTTTTAAATGTTCTGTGTGTATTGTGCTTTACTAAGAGGTACTTACATTCGGGCGTTGGGAATAATCTTGTGTCCGTCTTTGTACCAAGTGACCAAGGCTTGAGGGAAGGACGCCAAGGGAGGCGGGCTCAGGACTGCAGCCTGGCCTTGGCTTGCCGTCGTTCTCTGCTCTTCGCCTGAGAACCTCCCCATAACTAGAGGAAACGTGAGTTTCGGTTTACAAAGTCCCGCCGATGTAATTTCTTGCCGTCAGTTTGAGTTTCGAGTACTCACAGGCCACTTGCACCTCTGTTCTGTCATGTATGATGGCGCCCATCCTGTTCCTCACTGTGCATTGATACAGGCCGGCGTCTGTCCTCTGCAGCGACGGCACGAACAACCTACAGATGGTACAAGAGACAAATTATAATGATTGTTAAGTGATACGAAACCCTTTCACTTACACATATTCCTCTTGTTGAAAGGTTAAGTATTTTCTTCCGAAAATAAGGGCATTTCAAAGTGACTGTAGAAATGATCTTGACTTAAGATTTCTCACATTTGGTTAAACCACACCGGGTATGCACCTCGTCACTCGCTCTCCTTTACCCGCTGACACCTGAATTTTGGCCTGTTTTAATGCCAATTTTGTTCACCCCCGAAGACAGGGGGGGGAGGGGCTAGATGGCGATCAGCGAAGTGATGTTGTCGCTGTGGAGGATTCTGCATCAAGCGACCAGCACAGAGAATGACCACTTTCACGGAGGCGTCTCTTTGTTTCATTAAATGGACTCCCGTGGCATTTAAAGTAACACTTTCTAGCATCATATCATTAATGTTGCCCACTTGGCGGCCATTTCGACCAACTCATTTTGGAAGCGGGGTGCCTCCGGCTGTGATCCCGTACAATAGTTTCTTTAATTTTTCTTTTCCTGAAATGCCTTTTCTTTTCTGACCTGTTGATTTTTGTCAAATTTGGGCTTGTAAATCTCCTTGAGACTCATTTGTGATTCAGGGCTATGCAAATGATGTATTATGTATTGTGATTTATTCATACAATAACTAATACAAAAAAAAACACATCTACGTAAAAATGTACGAAAAACATTCAAGTCAGTTTGATGAGCGCACGATTAAGGGTGAAAGCATGTTTCCACTGAACAAAGCAGTCAGAGTTTGCTTAGGTAGGGCCGTCAGGTTCCGTTGTCAAAATATTTTCCACTTTTTGGAAGGCTGACACTGGCTTAGCACCTGCATGTTTATTTCACAGCATGCATGTTTTTTTTTTTTTTTTTAAATTTTATTCCCGAGAAGTATTAATGGATTTTAAATGGACACAAATTCTCTAATGGCAATCTTGGCGTAGGATCTAGGTTGCTACCACGCACGCCGGACAAACTCTCCCATGCAAAATCCGCTCACCAGCACACATACACGCACACAAAACTGGACATCGCTTGGGGGCTCATTATGAATAATAGGCCAGCCAAGTACTTAACTCCCAGGCTGTCAGTTTATGATGCCAAGGTGTGCGCACAACACCCATACACAAATACGGTAGAACGCTGTGTATGCATTGTTTGTATGCTGGCATCATCCGTAAAAGGCTCGTATAATTCCGTTTAATCAGGAATAGCAAATATCATAATACAACACAGTAGCTCTCCCTCTGTAGTTGTCATACCGGGGTCCATTACATTTCTATTAGCCAGGGTGCAGCGAAGCTGTCACTGTAGTGCCTAAGTGCCGGGGCAACTTCAGCTGGGATATATCACACTGAACTCAGAGTTCAGTGTTGACAGTTGCCAATCAATACAAATATTTCGGTGACACAGTCGCTGCTTCGCTCGCAGGGTTCAATTCTCTGGATGATTTAGGACAAGTTGGATCAGCTTTTACTGGCGGGGGCGGCTTGGAATCGACCTGGCTGCCCCTGTTACTGGGTGGGCTCGCGGCATCCGCAAATGTCACATTTTCGCAATTTCTGAACATAAATTGGAGATTGTGAATGCAAAAAAAAAAAAAAAAAAAAAAAAAAACATGTTTCAGGTCTTAATTGTGTTCTCTAAACTGAAGCAGCAAAACCATTGGTGTTCATCAAATGGAACCAAAATTAAATGCCTTGACAAGTTCTTTATAAAATATTAATAATGTGATGTTTGCATCTTTCTTGAGGCAGAGTATACATCTGTCAGCATTAGGCTTTTTTTTGGGGGGGGGGGGTCTGAAAGAAAAATTCAGTGGGGTCAGTTTCAACTGAGTGTTTCTGAATGGTTTGAATGGACTTTGTTTTTTAATTGCAATATTGACGATGATGTAATTTTGTGAAAAATTGTTATGCAGTCCTCAAAAGTCCAAATCTAAACTCAGCACCGATTGTGGGCTTTGACCACCGGTGGTAAAATCTACTCCAAAAATCCTGTGGTTTTGCATCCTCTCTGGTGTTTGTCCTCACATCACACTTGTTATAAATTGACAGCGGCGCAAAGACGACACATGCAGCGCCCTGCCAATCTGCCCAAAGTGCTGAACTCATCAAACTACAGCTGCCAGAATACTGAGAGCGGTCCAAGTTGTTCCACAACACCTCCTGCTGCTTCAACTGCTTCCTCACCCAAGTGGATCGCCTGTCCCAAGTTTGCCACAATCTTGAATGATGTTGAAAAATTGGATTTCACGGCAGAAGTTCTACCAACAGGGGACATGCATTGACACGGAGAACAAGAAATGCAATGCAAAGAACAGAAGTGTGCAAGAATGTTTTTGGTTTTTGGAACTGTCAACCACGCAATTTTAAAAAAGGCACCAGCTGACCTGTATTGCGGCGTCCAGTCGGTGATGTTGCTGCTGTTGAGTGACCAGCGGTACTGGAGTGGCCAACTGCCTCCAGCCAAGCAGGTCAGCACCAGCCTGTTTCCCTCCAGCGCCACTTGTTTTGCCCGGCTGACTCCTCGCATGTAGGGGGCCACCTCTGACAGATACAAAAAGAAACATACGTTTTCAAATAAAACAATCCATAGTCTTGCAATGGCAAACATTTGGTAATCGGTTTTATCGTCTTGCATTTATGTTTTAATGTAAAAAATATATATATTTTTTCCACCTTTATTTGTCTACAGACGGGTATTTATCTGACCTGAAAGTTTCAAACTTCATTCATATTGCAGGCATAAACTGCCTCTTTTCGGGTATATGAAAGCATCTCAATATTTTTATTTTCCCGAGCCATTCTAAGATGGACGTTTTGTGATATTATGCGTTGTTGTTCAGCTGCACAACCCAAGAGCATTTGAGCTTGAGGGCCCAAAATATTAACCGTGAGATTTTCTGGTGAACATCAGAATTCATTGTTGCACAAAATCACAGAAAGTCGTCCAGGGCCTGAATAAGCAATTCAGCCCCAGCCCATTAAACCGCCACCACCATTGTTTGATTGTTGGCATGACGTCTGTTTTTCGAGTTGTAATGGGCCGTGCCTGAAAAGTTCCTCTTTTGTCTTGTCAGTTGTCAAAATATTTCTCCAAAATTCTGAAGTCTGTACACGTCGAGCTTGATCGAGCGCCGAAGCATCCGCTGAATCAAGCTGTTGTTGATGCTGAGGTCCACTGCAGCCCCAGCAGATACTTTCCTTGGCTTTGCGCAAATGCCTGCATGAAGAGTTTGGTGTCGGAAACGCCATAAAATAAATAAATAATAATAAAGTGCTTTGTGACTTTTGAGACACGCTGTATATTCTGAACATAATCTGAGTATGATGTATTAATTTTACCTGTGGCATTTAGCAAATGCCAAGGCACGTATGAAAGCATAGTTCTGAATACAAAACATCTGATAGTGTAGAAAAACCTTAGATCTGCAAACATAATGCATTTGATAATGATGTTCCTAAAAGCAAAACTGATAATTGCTGAAATCTCGTTTAGGGTGATGAACAATACAAAGTAATGCAAAAACGTAAAGGTCACCGTGTTCGTTTGCAAAGAAACAAATAGTGCGGGTGTTGGGATGAAAAAATAAAAAAATAAAAATCCCAATGGCAGCTGTTAAAGCTAATTAGCTAATTATGAACTATGCCAATTTCAATGTCAAATCTGAAGACATATTTCCTATTTTTTGTTGACTCTATCCATTATTTCAATTATTTCATCGAGGTTATTGTTCAAGGAAGTTTCATTGCTTTTCTTGTAATAAAGGCCCTACCCTTATGAGTCGCAGGGTAGTCATTGAAATTCTAATCTCAGTTCATAGACACAAGCGGACAAGTTTATCTCAACTCTGATGCTAACCAAAATGAGTAAGCACTCCCTCAGATCAATTAGTCTGGAACGCGAGCGCGCGTTGTAAACAAGTCCCCTGCACAGCAATAATGATCGTCTTATGTAAAGCGGAGACGGCGTTTCGCATTCCAGTAGACTGACATGTAATCACCTCATAACATCGTTTGCTAATGGTCTCCCTGGGAGTCATTTATAGTTGGTCTGAAATGAAATAATACGTAATATGCCCTTCTTAATAATAACAAAAATACGAAACCAAAAACATGCTGACGAATAAAGTGTCAATATGACACATTGCCCATCTGCAGTTAAGTGAATTAATGGTTACTATTGGAAGAAATACGGTAGATATCATGGATGCTTGTTTTGCTTTATGAATCAGTTTTCCAATATATATTTTGATATTCCACGCATCTGCCTCACTTTCAAGAGGTTCTTGGTTCAATTCTCAGCTTCCGCCCCTCCTATGTGGGCTTTGCATGTTAATACATAGCATAAACCTGGCGGGCATTACGGGCAGAGATCGGACTGTGCGTCAAATCACACAGAGTCTGACCTCAACAAAGTTGAAAGCACAACTGAAAGAAAGAAGGCGTCAGGTACACATTAGTCACCAAGACATGCAGGTGCGAAATCACACGATGACAAACCGGTGAGTCTCAGTTGCGATTCCAGTAAATACAATCACTCCCAAAGTAGCCAGACAAATCGTCTTCCTTATTACCCAGGAAATGATTCAGTCAGGATTGCCTGAAATGAAAAGGCAATTGTCCAAACTGACATCATATTGTGGAAATAAACTCATGTTTGTTGACTGCAACTTCTTGTCCTCCGCATGGATGTAAACCAATCATGTGCCGAGCTTTTCTCGTGGATTTAGAAAATCGTTGATGCTGGAAGAACTTTGTCAATTATTCCACACCCGAGGACCTGCAAATTTTTCATCCATCCATTTATTTTCTGATCCGCTTCTCCTCACGGGGTCGCGGGGCGTGCCGGAGCCTATCACAGTCATCTTCGGGGAGTAGGCGGGGGACACCCTGAACCGCTCGCCAGCCAATCGCAAGGCACACATAAACAAACAACCATCCGTGCTCACACTCACATCTAGGGACCATTTAGTGTTCAATCAGCCTGTCACGCATGTTTTTGGAATGTGGGAGGAAACCTGAGTACCCGCAGAAAACCCACGCAGCCACAGGAGTACATGCAAACTCCACACAGGAAGTCCGGAGCCGGAATCGAACCCTGCACCTCTGAACTGTGAGGCCGACGCGGTAACCAGACAACCATCGGGCTGCCCCTAGCAAATTTTTGCTCCAGAAAAATGCTTCTTTGTTTTTTGTTTTTCTTGACATTTTCAGATGATATCACTTTTGTCAATGTTGTCAAGAGAATTGCAATAACCTTGTCTTATTTTTCCATTCCCACCAAGAGTTGATGGTGAGCTTTATTCAGCCAGTAAGTTGTTTAACAAGGAGGGACTTTTCAGGTCCAAAGTGTTTCACCCTCAAGTCTCCTTCTTCATTCTAAGCAGCCCTCTCATTCGGTGTCCACTGTATTCGCTTCCACACTCCTTGTTCCCTGCGGAGATCCCAGGGCCACATTTTCCTGCCTTCTCTCCATCTGTAGTTGCCCCCTCCACTTTGGATTGATAGCTGCCTTCGCCGTGCACACGAGGGAAATGTTCCATCTACGCTTGATTTACTGTATATGTGAGCCCGTGTGTGTGTGTGTGTGTGTGTGTGTGTGTGTGTGTGTGTGTGTGTGTGAGCGAGTGTTGAGAAGGGCAAGGCAACAGTGAGTAAGTGTTAACACGGCCATAAGAATTTATTTGGAAAATTCCTCACAGGATGGCTAAGAGCACTGCCTTTGCCATTCTCTTGAACAGCGACATGACTCATCCTCGTATGTGCACGTACGTACGTACGTGCGGGCGTGCGTGCGTGCGTGCACGCGTGAGGCAGAGATGCAACCTTAACGCTTGATCATACCCCATGACTCGACTAAGAAAGGCAGGCACGGTTGCACAATGTAAAAATAGAACCATGTGGATGTTTTTGAAGCGCCCCGGCTAGTTCACTTATCTGCACTTTCTTCATAGCTTGCTCCGCTCCTCGTGGCCCTTTAATCCTGCCTTATGCTTGAAAGCCAAGTCCATTAGCAATGACAGATGGAGACGGCGGACGTTAGCGAGCATCTGAGAGGAGCAAGGTCAGCTCACGGGATGTTTTGCTGTCTTTGTCGCCCGCTGTCAACAAACCTCTCTCCGCCATCATGCCTGAAGCAACTTGTCCAAAAATCACAATCGCTCGCGTTGCCTTATCACGCCAACTGCACCAAAATGTGATGCAACGCAAGTTTATCACTGTTTTAGTTCGGCACTCTGAGTGACGGCGTAAGCGGATGCAATCGGCCGGTCGTCTGAGAAGATGCTTGTGTTGATTGCATTTTTGTACCGTTTGTTCAATATATTGATTGAAAGTGCACCACAAGCATGTACGATTTGGGTGGAAGGCGGTTTTCAAGCACCCACTTCACACAACTGTGCTCTCCCTATCCAACTTTATGTCATTCACGGATGGAGCTCTGAGAGTAGCTATTTGCGTGAATCTTGCAGGTTGTCTGTGTTCATGTCCACAACAGCCCAATTAGTTTTGTTTTTTTTAAAGAATGCAATGCAGGTCTGCAAAAATACCAGAACTTGGTCTAGCCAGCCCCTGCGTAGATTTACACCGCACTGCGCACCGGACTTACACTGGGCACAAAAATTGAGCCCATAGTCTTATTGTCGTACTCTATTACAAATGCATCATGCAACCAACGTGGCTAACGTCCGCCTGACTGAAATTTCCGCCTTTCGCGTTCTGAAATCAATCTTGATTTCCACTGACGCTGCCAACAAAGTTTCTGTCTTATCGGGCCAGGAGAATGAATCCATTTGACATTGCGCAGGTGAGCAAAAGGGCTGTAGAACAAACTGTATGTGTTGACGGTACTGCAAAACATGACTGAGAGCAGGATCATATGCGTAGGGGAAGCAACGTGCCAACTTTCACCCCAAGTCTACTCGAACAAGATACCGAACCCCCTCCCCCAATTGCTCCTGATGACTGCGTCATCAGTCGGTGAATGAGGTAACAGTGCAAAGCGCTTCGAGTACCCGAGGTAGAAATGCGGCATATACGTGACGGCCCATTTACCCTGTACCGCATTAACTTGGGCTCAGTAAAAATGAGGGTGACTGAAACATCTCACAATTGCTAATGTCTTTGGAGCGCAGCCAAAAACAAACCACCTAGCTCAATCAACACACGTTTAAGTCAGTCACAATTTATCAGTATGCATCGATAATTGCAAACATAATGAAGTCGTAGTCCTCTGTCCGGCAATCCAATGGAATCCCACCCCTTCCGTCTTAAATGAGAGGTATTAACAGGCAAAGGCTAATTGAGTCACACCACGACTCGGAGGCATGAAACGCGTGTCAGGATTCCACCAATTTTACGGGTCCGACCAAAGGAAAATCATTTTCTCCACAGTGGAAAACCGTGTGGTGTTAATGAATATGAGTGGGAGAGGTCACCATCGGGGGCAGTCACCCTAGGAAACAAAAAAAAAAAAAAACACTTCATCTTCATAGAGCCCCACTGCTGGCGTGAGACTGTGCTGACAGAATTGACTGTCGTCCGTG